ACCATCCATATGCAAGGTGGAGATATTTTTCTTCTACTATAATACATTTTGAGGATTATAATTATTGATAAGATAAAATTTATTAATTCCAAATTATCTTTATTATAAAAATATTTTTGTACTTGTTGTAGTTTTTGCAAGAAAATAGGAAACATTCATGAAATAGGACCTGTGCCATAGCCACACTTTCAGCACTTCAGTAGAGATCTCACCAAAATTTTGCTGGAGAGCATAGTGACAAAGCACTATCTAAGAAGTGTCGTAGCACCAAATCTAAGCACCTCAATATTGGATCGAAGTGCCGAAGTACCAAACCACCCAATGCTCTTGTAGAAGTCGGTTGAATTGGTGAACCGATGCAACAAATGGTGAATCGTTGTGCTAGTTCAGCAGAATTGCAGAACCACCAAGTCAACATCGCAGTGTTCGTTCAATTAATTTGTAAAACTATAAATAATTGCCTTATACTTCTATAGAGGGGTTGATATATTTTTTAGTCATTTTTTGTAAGTGTGTGTGAGTGTGAGGGCTGCCTTAAGGAGTGGCTAGTGTTCTTGTATCTAGAGTGTTGAATTGGTGTGGAGAAAAGTGAAGAAGTGTAAAGAGGTTTTAATCTTAATTCAGGGTCATTTTTAAAGATTATTTTAAAATTTTTACCATGTTATCTTGTGTTGTTAATGTGTAACTTGTCTTTTATTCAGTGAAATAAAATATTTGTTATGTGTAACAATGCCCCTATGTGTAGCTAAAAATTTCCTTTGAATATAGATTATTTGAAAAATATGTACTACTTAGAGTAGGTTTAATCTTTAAAGTATCCATTTTTTTTAAATATTTTTTTGTACTTCAATTATTTATGTATAGGTCCCATATAAATTAAAAGTTAGTGTGATCTAGAAACTCGATAGAGAAACAAAAGAATAATTTATACAATTGATTATCACATTCTCGGTAACTTAATATCCACTCTTATTAGCAGAACAACCTAGCTAATTATTGATTGCAACTCAAGCTCATGAGTTTATTTTTTTTATTATAACAAATATTGTGGCTCACATATTTATGTCTCATAGTATTTGCATTCTATATTTGTTTGTGTGTGCTCCAACATTTTAGGAATACAATGCACCATCCAACAAAGATTCAGAGATCAAGATTGGGTAGAATAGGTTATGTTATAAAAAATTTATAATAATCATTTATGTATTTTTTATTTCTTGAGTAAAGTCCTATATGGGTGTATGCTAGCCTAACGATCATGCACACAAACAAGAGAGGAGGAGAAATAATTTTAAATGTTTTAATTTTTCTATACATCATACTATACAATCAATATCGTACTAGAAGATATGTTATTAAAAAAAATAATAAAATATTTTATTTATCTGGAAAAATATTTTTAAAATATAATTAATCATACAGTATGAACTTCACATCATATTGGATGATCAGTTATAATTAAAAAGCCCATCGTTCATTAAATTAGGCAGAAATTTGATTCATACAGTACAATGCCTAAAATATTACCTAATTTAGTCCTATGATTAATCAATCGAATCTGCTTAATTTTGAAATTTTGGTCGTACTTTATGAATTGGATCATACTTTCCGCACTTTTTTATTTCTATTTTACAACTATTGTTTAACACTCATCGCCTAATGACAAATCAAACACCTCAAAACTTCTCTCAATATCATAACTAGAGATATTATCAACAATTTAAGTTTATTACATTATAGTAATTTTGAGTGAGAACACCCCTTATAACCTTGATTTACAATAGTTGAATTAGTTTAATAGGTTAGGCTCATAATTTTTCCCTATTGACAAATTCTTCTAGTGAAACCAAACTAAAACCTAATTTTAAAAACTAGTTCAAACGCCTATATATATATATATATCTCTTCAAATAAGTTAAAATGGTAGAGTAGAGAAAATCAAGCATGTAAGTTTTAATTAGCCTATATTAATAGAATACACATGAACAGAACTGGCCATTGAAGAAGACACTCTGCCATTACAAATATCCCACTACTTCTCCACCACCTTCAACGCCGATATTGCATGGGAACAAAGCTCGTCGGTGACCGACTGGAGTTCCTTCTCTGGAAACAGCCTCGCCATCCCTTTCTACGGCTTCGATGATCAAATCTTTTCTTGCCTGCTATCGGAAAACCTTCCAATGGCTTCGAGCTAGTTCTTATAGGTATAACAATCTCCATGAACTTTCAAACTCAAATTCTAATATCACTTGTGAATTATCATATAATGTCCACCAATAATTGGGATTCATCAATCCCCACCATCTAATACACATCTTACTAGTCATACAGTCAAACAAACTATGAAGCTGATAACCCTTTCTCCACCAAATTTTGATTTCAATTTTACAACTATTATTTGACACTCATCGCCTAATGAAAAATAAAAAACCTAAAAACTCCTCTCAATATCATAGCTAGAGATATCCTCAACACATTAAGTTTATTACTGTTGTATCCAGGTATATTCGCGGTGGTAGAGAAATATGAAATTTAATGTCTTAGCTTTGTACAAAGATCCAGCACACAAAATGATAAAAGAAAGGGTGTAGCGTTCATAAGAGACACTAGAGTTTTTACGTGGGGCCTGACCCAATTTGAATGATCCCATTATTATTTGCAATCGATTATAAATGAGGCCATTCCTCGGGAAGGGGGGGGGGGAAGGCATTGGGTTGACATAACAAATGCACATCATATTACATAGTGGAAATTGGAAGAATTAGGATTGAAATTTTTGTTTAGTTGACAGAATCATATTTGACTGGCGACGGAGGTCATAATGACTATATTCTAGTAACAGTGGTCAGAAGGACTGTTGTTTGGCAAGGGAGGCAGAATGACCGTAGTCGATGATGGAGGTCAGAAGGAGTACTAGTATAGTCGGTAGGAGATAGGGGTCAGAAAGACCGTTGTATGGCGATGGAAGTCAGAAGGATCGTAGTAGGCAATAGAGTTGGGAAGGATCGTTGTTGGCAAGAGATAGGGGTCAGAAAGATAGTTATATGTTGATGGAAGTGAAAAGGACCGTAGTTGGCAGGAGACAGGGGTCAAAAAAACTATTATCTGGCGATAGAGGTCTGAAGGACCGTAGTAGGTGATGGAGGTCGGAAGGACCATGATCGGTAGGAGATAGGGATCAGAAAGATTATTTTATGGAAATGAAGGTCGAAAGGACTATAGAAGACAATGGAGGTCAGAGGGACAGTAGTCGGCAAGAGACAGAGGTCAGAAGAGACCATTGTCTAGAGATGGAGGTCGAAAGGACCGTAGTCGACAAGGGATAGGGGTCAGAAAGACTGTTGTCTGGCGATAGAGGTTTGAAGGACCGTAGTAGGAGAAAGAGGTTGGAAGGACCATGTTCGATAACATATAGGGGTCAGAAAGACCATTGTATGGCGACGGAGGTTGGAAGGACTGCAGTCGATAGGAGACAGAGGTCAGAAAGACCATTGTCTAGTGATGGAGGTCGTAAGGACCGTAGTAGGTGACAGAGGTCGAAAGGATCATAGTCGTAAGGAGGTGGACCAACAAAATTTTGGGCATTATTTGGTGGTCCAACAGAACTCTGGCATCAAATGGTGGTCCGGTGGTACTCCGGCGTCAAGCGGTGGTCTGGAAGAACTTCGGAGTAAGGATCTGGTCTGACGGAACTCTGAAGTCGAGCGGTGGTCCGGTGGATTTCTAACATCAGGTGGTGATCCGACAGAAGTCTGGTGTCGGGTGGTGATCCGAAAGAACTCTGGCGTTGAGCGGTGGTCCGTCATTGGTTGGTGGTCAGGCGAAAGTTCAGCATCAGACGGATGTCCGGAAGAACTCTAGTGTCGGGCGGTGGTCCGGCGGAAGTCTGGCCTCATGCAGTGGTCCATTGGAACTCCGGCGTCAAACGATGGTCTGGCAGAACTCCGGCGTCAGGCGATGGTCTGATGCAACTCTGGTGTCGGGCGGTGGTCCATCTGAAGTCCAGCATTGGGCGATGGTCTGGCAGAAGTCCGACGTTAGGCAGAAGTTCGGCGTCAGGCGGTGGTCCAGCAGAACTCTGGCATCAGACGGTGGTGCGACGTAAGTTTGGCATTAGGCGATGGTCTTGATGAAAGTTCGGCTTCTAGCAGTCGTCCGATAGAACTCCGGCGTTGGATGGTGGTTTGGTAGAACTCTAGGCAGTGGTGTAGGAGGAGCAAGAAGGCAAGAGCAATCTCTGATCTCTCTCTTGTCCTCTTGCTTGGGGTCCCTTTTCATGAGAAAGAGGGGCTATATTCATGGATTTTCTAGGGTGGCATAACCCATAAATAGAAGAAAGATCAAGGGTACTTTGGGAGTGGCTTTGATGGACGACCGATGTTGAATCCCCTGATCGTGAACCGTTTATTGGTCATTTAAATGTCTTAATGATATCAAAATTTTATGATCTTGGGCACGTCGAGCCGCTCGATTCGACTTTAAGCATGTCACATTTGGAAGCCATTTAGTAATCTAAATTATGGTTTGAACCTTCCAACTACGCTTCTAGTCCTTGATTTGGACTCAGATTGACTCGAATTTGGTGTTGTTGGATTTGTATTTTCGAGAGATTTAGTTTGACTATAAGTTTGTTGAAATCAAAGTTTGGATGGTCCCAATTTTAATTTTGGAAGTTTCCAACTTGATTTTGCCTCGAGATTCATGCCCGATCAAGATAATTTTTTGATGATTTATCAATTACATAGTAGTAATTTTGACTGAGAACTCCCCTTATAACATTGATCTACAATAGTTGAATTAGTTTAATAGGTTAGGCTCATAATTTTTTCCTATTGACAAATTCTTCTAATGAAACCAAACTAAAACCGAATTTTAAAAACTAGTTCAAACTCCTATATATATCTCTTCAAATAAGTTAAAATGGTAGAGTAGAGAAAATCAAGCTTGTAAGTTTTAATTAGCCTATATTAATATAATACACACGAACAGAACTGGCCATGGAAGAAGACACTCTGCCAGTACAAATATCCCACTACTTCTCCACCACCTTCAACGCCGATATTGCGTGGGCACAAAACTCGCCGGCGACCGACTGGAGTTCCTTCTCTGGCAACGGCCTCCCCATCCCTTTCGACGGCTTCGATGATCAAATCTTCTCCTGCCTGCTGTCGGACAATCCACCACTGGCTACGGCTTCCGACGAGAAGCGCCTCCGCATTTTCCACCTTCTCATGGCTGCCGCTGAAGCTCTCAACGGCCCCCACAAACAGCGGGCGCTCGCAGGAGTGATATTGTTCCGACTCAAGGAATTGCTTGTCCCGACGGAATCTGCCGCAACAATCGTCGAACGCCTGGCTTTACATTTCACTAAAGCGCTACAAAGCCTACTTTCCGGGAAAGGTCCCTCCTTTCACCGCCATCCTGCCGCCGACGAGCTCACAGCTCTCCAGCTGATGCAGGACATGTCGCCGTACATCAGTTTTGGCCATTTAACCGCCAATCAAGCCATTCTCGACGCCGTCAGCGGATTCCAGCAAGTTCACATCGTTGATTTTGACATCAAGGAGGGGCTGCAATGGCCTTCTCTGATACAAGCTCTGGTTTCTCATAAAAACGGAAACTTCACTTCACCCTCTCTCAGAATCACAGCGGTCGCCAGTGGGAAGTGGTCGACGGCGAAGGTGGAGGAAACCGGTCAAAGGCTGACTGCCTTTGCAGCATCGGTAAGCCTTCCGTTCTCATTCGACCATTGCCGACTCGGACGGAATCAGAGATTCCGGCCGGCGGCGGTGAGGACGGTCAAGGGAGATGCAGTCATACTAAACTGCGTTCTCCAATGGCCTCAAACCCCACACCGCACCGCCACCTCCGTTAAATCATTTATCGGCGCCGCCGCCGCCGTCGGAGCATGCTTGGTGACGGTGGTCGAGGAGGAAAATGACGGCGGAGAGGCGACGGTGGCGGCTGCGGCGGGATTTACTGGGAAGTTTATGGATGAAATGAAGAGGCATTGGGCAATGATGGAGGCATTGGAAGAGGGGTTTCCGAAGCAGAGGATGGCGAGGGAAATGGTGGAGAAGGAGATTTTGGCTCCGAGAATTGCAGCGGCGGTGTGGAAGGCTTACTGTGAGGAAGAAGGAGAAGTTGGGGAGTGGATGGCGGCGGCCGGATTCAGGCGAGTGGATCTCAGTGGGTTCAATGTGTCACAAGCTCGGATGCTGATTAAGCTGTTTAATTATGGTTATCGGGTTGAAGAAGAATATTCGAATAAGCTCGTTTTGAGATGGAAATCGCGGCGGTTAGTTTGCGCCACCACCTGGGCAGTTCCGCCGGCGGCGGCGGCAGAAGCGGCGCGGGAAACTTGCTTATAACGGATGTTTTAAGTAATTTAGGGGTATGTTTAGCAGAGCTTTTTCAGTCTTTGGTTTTCAGAACACGACTCTTCAATTTAGATATTATTTTTTTCTAGTTTTTTTCTTTTTTAGTTATGTGGCTAAAACTATTTTTTATAATTAAATTTGCTAATATATAATAGTTCTAAAAATTATTAATCATTTCAGACAGCTTGATGCATTTAAAAGAATCAACATTGGAAAGAGAAATTTTAATGAGGTTATCAATAGTATTCCCATTAAGCCATGGAGTACCCAATAACTTGTCATGCCTCGAATTTTAAATTGGAAGAATTATCTTTTATCTTTTTATATTTATAATCATTTAACATTTCAACCAAAACTTACAAATCTCATAGAAATAGTAGAAAAAGAAACATCATTTTATTTATAGTTATTCAATATGTATAACTAATATAAGCACAAAGGATACATATACATTAGTCATAGCATACAATAAACCAGCTCTGCTCATCTCGATAAGCACATGACTATAAAATAGGACTACTAGGGGATAGAACACAACTCATCATCAAACTTCCTTATATTTCCTTGAAAATATGTACAAAATGACAAAATGAGAATTGTAGCCCAACATTTTACTAATATTTACAACTGAAATCAATGCATGTCATATGTTCAATTATATCAGTGGCATATTAAATAAAATAGTGGCCTTTATGTTTCATATCAATCCATCGTATATCAATTTATCATTTAAAATCAGTTGTCATTAGTAATCAATATATATCATGTCATGTCAATCAATAGTTGTTAATTAATCTTATCCCTCTTATCTCTCATATATTATCAGCGTACGTATTCATATCATATGCTATATGGTCACACACACTCTTATATGGTCTATCTATCAATGCAATAATATATTTGTGTATTAATATAAGATTCAACAAGGTAGGATATCCAACTTTAATGTGATGTTTTTTCTTCCATTTATTATTTGTAATATCTATCTATCTATCAAATCACATTTTATCTTTCATTTACTTATATTTATCATTTGTTTTTATAGGTGACTTTCAATAAATTATTAAGAGTCATCACATTGTACCTATTGGCTTAATTCGATCAATCGATTACAGTCTACAACTAGGATAACACCACAAATCATTTTTAAAGGAAAACCCGTTGACCAACTCTCCCACACTGGATATTATATTTTAAGAGCAGACCCATATTAATTTATAGTATTAACTAGCATTCCTTACTTAAAAATGCTAAATTTTCTTATATTAGTTGTGTCAATTTCTCTTTTATACATGAAATGCAACATGAAACATTGAAATAAAATATGGACATTAATATATAACTTAAAACAATCATAACTTTTGTTTACCTAGTGTAATTCAGAAAGATTCCGGTCAAAAGACTTATATTGATGACAACTATCACATACCAAAAATTATGTGGTGAAAGTTCTATTAAACGGTAGATATAATCTTTTTATAACTTTTAGGAGATAGAAAGCACAGTAAACTTGTTGCGTCCTGGAGTATTCACGACGGTAGAGAAATATAGAGTTTAACGTCTTAGTGTTGTATGAAAATTCGGCATGCAATCAGGTAAGAGAGAGGGTGTGTCATTCACTAGAGACACCAAGTTTTTTACGTGGAAAACCCCTGCAAAAAGGGGGGAAAAATCACGGGGCTTGTAAATCGGGTTGAAGAAGAAGATCCGAATAAGCTTGTTTTGAGATGGAAATCGCGGCGGTTAGTTTGCGCCACCACCTGGGAAGTTCCGTCGGCGGCCGCAGTTGAAGCGGCACGGTAAACTTGCCTATAATGGGTGTTTTAAGTAATTTAAGGGTATGTTTTGCTAAGAGAGTTGCTACTTAGCTTTTGCATGTTTTGCACTGCAATAATAAGGTTCGGGCCATCGTCATTTGGTGTCTAATTTAGGTTTAGGATCCATGGCATATTCTAAATCATAATACCCCAACCTTAGGGAATATAATCCTAAATATCTAATAAATCAATCAACTCAAATTAAAGATTTCTCTTAATATAAAATTTAAAGCCCAACACTTAGTTTAGGTCGGGGCACTTCTGATTTCTTTTAGTATCCTAAAGTGTCCCCTATCTATCTTCCATTGACCCCAAAAATAAGTGTTCAAAATTCAATCCAATCCCTATTAAAACTCTGGATTCACCTCCTTTGACATCACTTATAGAAACTCTTTAAACAAATTTTTTGTCATTATTTTAATTAAGAGTTTTGGTAGGAAATTTTGGTTTCCTGTGATATAATTAACTATGATGGCTTGTGTTCATAGGGATTTTAGAGTCCACATCCACCTTTTCAAAATTGATTTTCAAAATCCAAATTAGTCTTCTTTGGGGAAATCGAATCGATGACGGTTATTATCATCATCTTTGAACGATTATTAATGAATGATATTTTCTTCCTTTGGGGAGATATATCATTTTTTAATAAAATATTGGATATGAAATTAATGATAAAGCATCTAGATTATCATAGCCAAATATTATATCAAACTTCACTCTGACCTTCTGAGGTCATATGCAATTCTTTCTTGATTCTAATTACGATATTCAAGGTGGGATTTGAAATTCTAATCTGAACCCCGTTTGAAATCTTATTTCGACCCCTCGAGGTGGTATACTTTTTCTGATGGGTTGTTTGATTTTAGAATTGAAATTCAAAGTTAGTTTTGCAGTCCCCAAAGAAAACTAAATTTTCCAAAATCACTTTTTTAAAACTTCCACCAACAATATATAAGCAACCATATTTAATCTTCTATAATTTTTTGAATGTATACAACTTGATCTAGTTACATTGTAGGCACTTTATATTTATATTTGACTCATGCATATCCATTTGCACCTAAGTATATTCAATTTCACTCTTTTATGTTTACAAGCAAGCTAGATACATTCTACTTTGTGTTTCTTTTTTCAACAAAGGAAAGATAACATAAATACATATGTATGTATGAATGCAATATGTGTGTATATAATTTAAATGCTTAGTCTTGCACCAAAAGAAAAGTAATTATATATTTCATGACACCGAGAGTACTAAAAATAATCAAACAGACCAAAGATACCCTCTAAGCAATGGTACATGTATAAAACTAAACACACTACAACCTAGCCTAAGACTAGAGTTAGAGATCATACCAAATATGTTTTAGTGTGTAAAAAAGATTGCATGTCATCGATAAGTCCAAAGAGGCTTGATGTTTGAGTTATTTAAGTTTAAGGTGGTTGGTTATTAGTCAAAGGAGATTTTGATTTAAGTTTAAGTTGTAATATTTTATTTTTTTAAAGTTTAAGTTGTAATATTTTAATATTTTGTTTATTTAATTTTAGGTTATTTTTAATTTGAGTGGTTTTATTTTAAATTTTAAAAGATCATATTAGTTAGTAGCTTCAAAGTGCTAAAGCTACTAACCCAAGCCCTAAAGATCTTAATTGTAATGCTACCATTCCCCTATAAAGGATATGATTGGTTGCATATAGTCCTTCATTTAATTAAGTATTTTAGTTCCTAAAAGCTCTCAATCTAATACACCTTTATCATCCTAAAAGGAGTCAAGCACAAGTGCATGAAAGCTTCAATTTTTAAGTGTTTTATTATTGATTTATTAAAGATTATTTAGGTTGAATAGCGACTATCATTATTAAACGAGGGTTGTAAGGTTTATTTCATCATTATTGGGGCTAAGATATTATCCTCATAACCCCGACTTATGCAATAATCATCTGTCTATTTATGTTTTATTATTGATTACTGGTTTGATTATAATTAATTTAATTCATAGGTTATTGGTTTATAATATTTATAATTTAACACTAGCATTTAATTAATACATTTGTGGCATTATCATAATGGGCATGAGAACCAAAGGTTCCTTAGGAAACCTAGTTTGCGGCTCAAGATATCCCAGCCTAAATACTTTATTAATATAGTGTGAAGTATTATTATTGTTTATATGATTTAATTCATTGAGTTGATGATTTACAAAATTTTGGTCTTTATTAAATTATAAATTTTTAATGATTTACTTAATTTTAAATTAATGGCTTATAATTATTTAGGTTAAATTATTATCTTTTATTTTATTATTTTATTTATTTTTATATTATTTTTATGGAAGATGAATGTAGCATAATGGCATGGCCAACATGAGCCATCATTTATAAATTAATCTACAAAGGAGAAATTTATAGGAAGATGAATGTTCGATTGTAAATTAATCATATATGAATGTGGACTAAGGCTTTGTTTGGGACAGTTTTCTTACTGTTTTCTGAAGTAGCTTTTTAGTACAAAAAAACAATTGTACTAAAAAATTGCTTTAGAAAGCAGTAAGAAAGCTGTCCCAAACAAAGCCAAAGATCTCCAAAACATGATTTATGCAAAATAAAACAATTATACAATTTCATATGCCAAAATGATAACCATTATGAAAGTATGAGCTTCGATAAGTTCATACAAATGCACGTGATGAAGTCTTCGAACACGTACATTTCTAACATAGATTTCTAATACAAACAAAATCTTAACATTATTTTGTTGAGGCATTTCATCAAACATTTAGTAGATGCTACCTAAATAATGAAGGATGTAAGATCAATCCATACACAAACAAAAGGTTAACATTCCATATTTTATATATAACAATGCAAACTAATTTAGATGAAGTTTTTAATAAACATTATCAAACAAATCAACTATTGCTAATAAAAAATATAATTAAAAATGAATGAAGATAACTTATGATAGTTTTAGATAACATGGTCACTTGCCACCTAACACTCGGAGTTCCACTGGGCCACCGCCTGACGCCGGAGTTCTGCCAACCTCCACCTGATGTCGAAATTCCACTAAACCACCACCTGATACCCAGAGTTCCACTGAGCCACCAATTGTCACTGGTGTTCCGTCGGACCACAACCTGACTCCGGATGTTTCACCAGACCACCACTAGATGCCTAGAGTTCCATCTAACAACCACCAAATGCCCGGAGTTCTGTCAAACCACCAC